TTAATAAAATAGTTCTCACGTTACTGTAATACGTCATTAATGTGATTCCCACACGACTTTTAGATCGTGAAAATGCAATGTATAATTTACCACGTCGTGTAAATAACATGGTCTCTTTGCATGTAACAAATAATCCAACTTTATAAGCGCTTTGTCCCAGTGACTTATTTATAATTGTCATGATAAATGTGAGTCTCACTTGGAACTTAAACCGTCGATACGAAAGAAATGTCTGAACTACCACTTGTATCAATTGTTATGCACGGGATGTGAACAATATTCTCGTCTCGTGTCAACATTTCACAATATATTATAGTCTAGTCGACCTTAATCACTACTGTCTAATCGTGTTCCATTACACAGACCATCAGAAATACATAATATATAATGTTTCTTAATAATATATGACAATGCAACCTAGATTCAGATCAAGTGAAGTAGTTGGAAATCATGAATGTGTAAGGGATGCAAGATAGTCAGGTGAACGACGTAAAGACATTTCTTCGCTATCAGTAACATTTCAGCCACGAGAATCGGCAATATCAGTGGAAATAAACTTAATGTTATCACTAGTCAATCTTGATAAATTTGAATTATACTTTTTCTTTACGTCATCATTTCGAGCTACTGAAATTATTCTCGTGTCACAGACTCCAAATCAATTCCATTTGGATACAACTCATCAATCAAATCATAACTATAATCATATATTTAGTGATTTATAGGGTCTTGATCTTGCTATAAACGATATCAATATTTCCATGGTAATTAGGTATTTTACAATACTATTTTTCAAAACTTTTTTGTGTAATAATTGACAGCAATTCATTAATATTTTTCAGTTTGCAAGATAATTATGTAATATTTAAATATTTAACAAAAAAAAAAAAATTTTTTTGTAAAATATAAATTATTTATAAATAAATAAACTTAAAAAAATTAGAAGTATTTTATTTTTATTCGTGTGATTTGGTGTAATTAAATTTTTCGAATAATGCTTTTAGATTATCTGGGTATACATCATACTATTTTCGTTCTAAATATGTTAGTTTGTTTTATTGTTATTATTGTGCATTCAAAGATTCTAATTATATTCTAATTAAAAATTGTTAAATTTTTAATGAATATTTAAAAATTTAAACTACATATTAAATTAAAAATAATTATTTAAAATTATGATTTGCATTCAAATTAAAACAAAATAATATAAATATATAAATACGATTTCACTTCACTTTTTACTTATTAAATGTTTAGATTAGAGGGACAAAGAATTGATATTGTGTTGGATTTCTGGGGTTAATGCAGGATAAAATTAGTTTTGACATTTTCAAGTAATTTAATGCTATTACACACCATGTGTAGGAGTCTGTCGTTGAAAGTCTAATATTTGTTTAATGGGCTAACAAATTTATGCCAATATTTAAGATCATGTCATTTTAATACAATGTTGATTATCATCGTGGGTTAAGAAAATTGAGACAGGTTTCACATTTTTAAAGAACCAAAATACTCGTACAACCCAAGTTTGATAAGGTTAACACACAGATCAATGATGGTCGATGGAATCATATTACATGGTATGAGGTGAGTGCAAATTGGTTCAACTTGCCTGCTATTGGATGACTGAGTCTTATATAGAAAGTTGATTATGAAAGGGTAAGGCTAGACGTAAAGGGTTTGTACGGTTAAAAGCTGTTCCATGTTCTCTAATTTCTGTTCTATAACAACGGTCACCTAATTATTAATAAATAGATTTTGAAGAAAATCCTTATATCCATTATTCAAGACCGTTAACTCCTTTACGCTCACATTTCGTTGTATTTGCAAATACAACAATCGATATCCTTTGGATCAAGAATAGGATATGCTAAGCTGGCATAAGATGTAACATTCCTTATGCTCGGATCTTTCTTCTTATAATAAATTATTTTTTTAAATTTTAATCATTTCATTCATCAGCCATTTAGCCATTTCTTAACACAAGGTTAGATACCTACATTTTTCTTCATTTAAAAATTAAATCTCTATGATAATATTTTAACAATACCACCGGCCAATTCTTAAATTAAAAATTCGCAGTCAGTTTTGTATAGGGTTGGGGTGATTGTATATTAAAGTTATAATAAAATGTTTTAACTACTAGGTACCTATTGTTTAACGATCACTAATACAGGTACTTAAACTTTTATATCTTATAAATCTTAACATTTCGTACACACAATTTTTAACAAAATAAGAAGTATAGTTTTATGCGTTTAAGCTGTGGTTATTTATATTCATACAACGAGTTTAAACAGTGAAAAACTAACATATATCGAAATAATTTTCTGGTCACAGTATGTAAATCCGAAGTGTCTGTAACGGCGGGTACGTGCACAAAAAATAGAAGTCTTCAGCAGAAATATGCTATGAAGACGAACCCAGGAGACTCGTAAAAACTCACGAATCCAGAAAATGAATTATAAAAAAAAAACGTACGTCAGTTTATAATAGTTATAAAAGAAAAAAATGTGCGTTATTACAGCGTAAGACGTAATATACTACTTATTGTGAAATCAAAAAATGCTCTTATAATTTCATCCTTCTGTAAATTGTTGTATTTTTAAAAATGTTATGGGTGACGGTTGATTACAATAATCACAAACAAATAAATATGATGAGCTAGCGGCATACTCATATTATGAGGTATATTTTTACAATTTATACAGGGAAGTGCTAATATTTTGATGCAAATATTATAATGTAATATAACGGTTTGTTTAATTAATTTTTACCTGATAAACTAATTTAACATATTTGAATATTTTATTTTTTGCTTTGTATCTAAAATTAATTGATATCGTTTATTTACGCATTTGTAATTTTCACATTGAATGCATTACTTTTTGAGTTCACTTTATTAAAATGGAAGTAATTTAGTCTTTTTTTCTGAAAAATATATGTTTTTTATGTATTTCTATTTACTAATATTTATCAGTGATGTGTTGTAATGATGTGCTAAATGTAGGTAATGATTTTTATAAGGTAAATGGGTATTTATTTTTGTGGACGTTATCATAGTGTGGCATCAGGTAAAATATTATTTAATATTCATGTACTCTTATATTTCAAAAGACTTCGAAATTGTGTATTTTGATAATCAATTTGAGCTCTTTAATGTTTATTGCATAATATAGACATTCTAATAAAATATCAAAAGGCATTTAAATATTTAATATGTCAATGAACTGGATTATTAAGTAAGTATTAAATAGGTACGATCCCAAATATTATAACTCTATAAAATATAAAAGAAATAGAATTTTTTGGTTTTAAAAACTATTCAATATTTTTGTTACTTAAAATTCAATAAATAATTGTTTATTAAAAAAAAGTAAAAACTTTCCATTTGTTCAAATATGATTACATATTACTTTATATGTGTATAATGCAAACATCTGTTAACGTTTAATTTATGTTTCACATCTCAAAAATATTTTGATTGTAGTTACTTGTCATCAACTCAAACTTAAAAATTACAATACCTAATTTTAGTCCACAAAAAACGTCATCAGTAAACTTAAACGAACCAATATATTATTATTGAACACGTGATTTATCTTTCTAATAATTTATATTGAAACTTAAAATAACTTTAAAATATTTTGTGCACATGTATGTCCTGTATAATATACATAACATTTTGTTTTGTTCAACAGATTAAATGTCTCGCACAGCGTGGATTCAATTCTGTATTTCTGTTTGGGAACAAAATTAAACTTAGTTATTAAAAAAAATACATATATATTATTATACTCAACTAAGTCTACCCAACAGTCTATGTTTTATGAATTATATTTCAGATGAAAACACAATTGAAGCTATTAATCAGAAAAATAATGAAAAGAAAGAAATTCGTGACCAGAATAACAATTGCAATGGACGAAATGGCTCTTTCCGGCTAATTGGTAACATTCTTTAAGTAGACACAAGAGAAAGTAAACAAGGAAAAATTGTTTGTATTTATATAGGATTATGTTTTTAGAATTTAATGTGTCAAATTAATCGAATGTTACAGAATAAATATAATAATATACGGCGTGGTCCAAAATGCATAGTCTCCAAAAACTCCGTAGATTCATTACAGCCCTATTTTGCTGGATGTTTTCTTATTTTAATCATGATATGTTTTTTTAGTTTGATTAAATTCGTATTTTATTCAAAGTTTAACAACGCGACGTGATCCGAAACGAGATTTAAAATTAAAAAAAGGGTGGTTAATCGAAAAAATAATATGTTGTGTAAATAGAGATATTAAAAATGTATTTTGAATATTTTCCTTTACCTGAGACAGTTGTGTCTGATATTATACTTAAATTATTTTACTAATACATTGGACGCTAAATCTCGAAGAGTACTTAAAGCTGTTGATATTATGATAAAACTATAAAATACTACCTAACTATAATATTAGATAAAAAATTTAAAAATTATGTTTGTAATAATTGGCCGGTTTAGAAAAATCCAAAATAACTTTATAATTATTAATTGGTAAATTGTATTGAAACTACAAAACGGGCTATAAAACTTGGAATTTCAAACTTACGAACCTTTTCCCTTTGTATATGTTATATAACTAAAGTCAATATGATATTACGCTGTTCTTAGTTTTCTCATATTTCAAGTATTCTTGCAGGTGTTTGTGAAATGAGTGTAAAGTAGAATGGAGGAATGAAAATTTATGGGATAACTTCTTCGTCGTATACGCTAATGTATGCCGATCTGCCATGGACTCTCGTAACTAAATTTAAGTTGGAAGCAGCTACTGAGTTCAATACTCGGGATCATACACAAATTATTTATTTATCATATTTTATACTCGTATAAAATTTCACTATTTATTTATAATGTATAAAACCTGTCCGTAAGTAACAATATTTTAATAATTCATATAATTGTAATTGTATTTTATTTTTTGGAATTTATTGAAATGCTAAAATGAAACTCGTGTCCCTTACCTCTAAGCCAGTTGAGTCGTACAGGTTCTGTAGGTCTGGACCGACGTTTTCCAGAATACATCTTCTCTCCTCCAAAAAATCTAAAAAAACATTGTTTTGATTAAATTAAAAAATAATTCAGTTGCCAAGTTTTTTAAATAGAAACTAGTTATTAGGTATATGTATAATATTAATTTAAAGGTGATTGAAAATGCAATATTAGTAGTATTATAACAATCACTTAAGTAAATCGAGTTTTATAAATACTAAAAAATAATTGGTTTTATTGAATCTTCAAATATTGTGTATACGATTTTCAGAGTAGAACTTAGAATATTGACAATTAATTTATTATACATGAAATGTTTTAAAATATTAATTAATCATGAATGTAAGTGCAAATAAGATCTTAAATTAATTAAAATTCTAATATATTTGAAATGGTCTTTAAAATGTCCCCCTAAACTTAATAATTTATGTTTGGAATCTGATAAAAGAGATAATTTTTTTCAGGTAGTACCAGTGGCCCGATTTAAATTTTGTAAAAAAATTTATATTCACTATCCATTTTACCTTTTTTTACTTAAGAAAAATATTTAACGTTTACAAATTAATATAATATGTGAATTAGAAATTGAAAAAAATTTTTTTTGGTTTTTAAAAAAATAATTTGGATTTTAAAGCTTATTAAATAATAAATTAAAAAATATTTTTGCAAAATACCTAACATAGAAAATAAGCTAATACTTTTATACATACGTAGTAGGTTCAATATAAATTAACAATCCATTTATCATTCTAAATCCATAACAAATATAGTGTGCTCCAACAGCCTTAAGTATAAGAAATTATTTAAATAATGTCATTGAATATATGTATATATATTTATATTATATTTATTGTAAAATATAAACAGCTATTGCGTTTGATAACCACAAATATATAAAAACAAAAAAGTATTGTGTGATCATTATTTATTATAACGTCAGACAACTCACTACCTTTAGTAGTTTACAAATTGTGATACATAATATTCAAATTAATTTTTAACTCAAGCGTAAGGCTGTTAAGTTATTTATGGCATTTGACTCATTAGCGTAGGACAATATTAATTACCACGATCGTGTCTTAAATGTCTGTTTGATATTAAATAATTTTGATTTAATTTTACATAACTGTTTACATCCTATTATTAATTGTTGACTTCTAATTAATATTAATGATTTCGTGCAATAATACAATACAATTTATATGTATATATATATACAATACACAACGGCTAGGGGCTCAGATTATCACTATGGTTTTTTATATTATAGATGCGATTTGTCTGTCAACGGAGGTTCACTGGAAGACGTAACCGTAAAAAAAACAATGAAAATATCAAATTCAGAGCGTAATTAGCTGAGTTTTTCTGTCGAATAAGTCCAACCTCTGTGTGTTTATTTGATAAACATAAAAGTAAAATAACGAATCTCTAAGTAGGTATCAAAGTTATATTAAATCCACATTTAATGGTCGGTATCGATTTTTATCAGATGACATTATCCCAATTTAAATATTTTAATAATAAGTCCTTGTGGCTTAGTGTTGCGTAGTGTCTACATTCAGTTGTGTACGCCTTCTGAGTGTAAGCACCAGCCAGTGTTACTTGTTTCCAGATGGGTGACCAGCCGGGATTTTTGGTAATAAATCAAAAAGAAAAATAATAAGTTCGACCAAACACATAGATACCTGTAAAATAAATATACAAATTAAAGGGAGCAGGTGCATTCATCACCATTAAAATTTGTGTTGTGGTTTTATTTTTTTATACGAGAACCACTTCTTCCCTTAAAATTGTTAAGTAAATTATTTTTTCTTATATTGATATATATATCTACATGAATGGTTAAATGTATAAATAAACTTAAGCATTTAGTCCACCACTTATCATATGGTACTTAAAATTTTTTTACAAATTATAAAATCATAGTAGATTATTGTCGATTAGTTAGTGATTACTATAATTTTCAAATAATCATAGCCACCATATTTCCTTTACATATTATCATGAGCTATCATTCTTAATACTTTAAGATTTAAAATATTCAGAAACTAACTATATCTATGAATTTTAAAATGCAGTCGTCGAGTATACTTAAATCAGTGTTTTGAATAAAATATTATGCAAACAATGATAAATTAATCGTGACGGGTGAATCCTCTTGCAGTGCACTGGACGTGTCTGAACTTGATGTACACGTGACCTCAGTGTCCCTCGTCAAATAATAACCACCCATAGGACAATACAAAATTACTGAATTTTTGACCAGTCGCTTCCAGTATTGTAACAATGTCACTAAAAATCGTCATCATGCAGTATGCACAGCTGTCCACGTCTTGTACCGACGCGATCAAGTCACCACATTGCCACATTGCGGTTGCCGACCATTTGTCGACTTGTCGTATATTGCAGTAGCCAACGCTGTTCACAGAGAAAAAATTGGTGCTTATGCTTAGAGTGGTCCAAACGTTTTGATGTCTGCGTTAACTCTGATGTCTTAAAAACGATTATAATTCTGTGTTTTATAGTTGGAAAAAAAAAATTAGGTGTACCCAAGTATAATGATATTTACTGAACTTCCATCAAATAAAAACTGATAACATATAGCACACCAAAATATTAGGAGGTATTAACAACACACTAGGATTCAAAAAATATTGTATAAAGCAATTATCAAACATTAAAGAAATGAAAAATAAAAATCACGAAATAAAGTGACTTATAGTCAAATCTAATAATTTGGGTGCAAAATGCGTCAAAAAAATAAACAAATTAAATAACAATCATAATTTTGTTTTACAGAAATTTATTTTCCAAAAAGAAAGCGCCAGCATAAATTCATTTTAGTTACCCGTGTCAAATTTGTCATTTTTTTTATCAAAACACATAAAATACATATAATACATTGTATTGTAAACTCTAAAAAATTTATTATTTTTAAATTATTACTTTAAGCGTAAAACACTACATTATGTACCTATATTAAAGTACTTTATCGAATTATAATACTACATCCGTTTACCGTGACAAATTGTATTAATGTTTTGAACAAGCACCTTGCCTACAAATTTATTTAACGAGGGTATTATAAAAATTAAAAAGTAAGATTTTTTTTACATTTTATAAACTTGTTGATTTTTAAATTAACTTAAGATTAATTTTAGGAAAATTGAATCTCTGAAGTTAATCTTGAAAAAATAAAAAAAGATAATAATAATAAAACAAACAGAAATTCCTGTTGTAAAGCAAAGGATTCAAGTTAACCACGCCATTGAGTTGGTCACTTTAAAGGATGTGTTAAATTTGAACTATAAATCACTAAATAGGTGAGAAAAACGAGATACGATGTCAGATTCTATTTTTTAAGGATATTTTATAAATAATTTATTTCCTGTTGGTAGTACGAGATGTGTGTTGAACTTCTTTTTCTCAAAAACATAACTTATATTAAAATATTATTCACTATTTTGATGATTGATAATGTACCATAAATATTACTATCATTAACTTATGAATGAACCCCGTGTACCGAAGAACAGTGTGAATAAATTCTTGGTATAAACATTAAACAGTTTAAAGTTTGTCATAATAATGTTACAATATATCATTAGAAAACCTATAGAAAAATATTCACTAAAACCTACGTTATGAAAAAAAATCAATCAAAATTAAGTTAATATTTTCTTTGTGACTATATCTATTTTAAATTTTCTGTTAACTCTGTTCACATATATTTCCATTGAATTACTTAATACTCATTGAGCAGTTATTGTAATTTATTTAAACACCTTTTGCTAAAATAATAGTCGTTATCGTTTTAATATTAACTATAACAAGAAGAAGAATTCATATCGATGGCCGATATAGTGTTCAACTCGACATGCGCTACACGGTGGTTTCCCAGTCACCGAAAAACTACCATTGAAATATAATAACAACAATAAAACAACAGTAATGATAGAAATGCTATTGTGTGCATACCACGATGGTTTAAGGTACATACAACTAGGTACCTATATCTTAAACCCTGGAGTATACACGACGTGTTTGTTGACATGTCAGTAGTTCGTGTCCCTACGCTGTATGATAATAGATAACATAATTATACATTGTGTTGGAGGTATATAGATACACTGATAATATAATTACGACACGCACTCCCCGATCGGCGTTTTCACGTTTTGACAATGTAATGGACGCTCCAACGACACGGCACGCCCGACACAAGCTCCGAAAAACAAGAGAGAATTAATTAATTGTTATCGTCGTCGATACAACTACAATAGGTCCGAACCATACATCGTAGTCGACCGCGTCTAGAACTACTTCCTATTGATAACATAAAAATATTTTAAAGCTCAACGGGTAACAAAATCTTTCATCAAAATATTAATTAGTTTTTTTTAATGACTTGTAAATTACTCATTGAGGAGACAACACGTAAGTCTGGACCTTGGTATTTTGTATAGGTAGACTACTCTTAAATTTATTTCCCAAAATTGAAATTCGGCGGGGGTGGTATGAGTAACTTGTAGTTAAAAGGTTCTCAATAAAAACATATTATTACACTACGACGTTCAACGTTAGCTTATTAATAGGTTATGGAAAGATGTATTAATTGAATATAACTTAATAACATATAATGAAAACACTATATATGCATTATGCAGTCAAACTTATTACAGAAATTAACACTCTTTGAATTACATTATTACGTGATGAGTATAATAGGTACCTCTTCTTGTTTTTTCACATCACAACATGTAACGTAACAACAGAATTTAGGTAAAAAGATGACCTGTTACCGGAAAAAGAAGTACAAGAAATTAGTAATTACGTTTCTGAAGGAATTGCTCTAGGTCATTCTGCCATTGAACACTTAGCATTGGTGGACGACATCGCTCTCTTAGGAAATTATGTCGAGACAATAAAAAAAAGGAAAAAAATTAACGAAAGTTGCAGAAAAAGTGGTACTAAAAGTAAACGTCGATAAGACATCAAATTGTTATATGAAAAAATAGAAATCATGCAATAGAACAAAACATTAAGTTGAAA